CGTCAAACCCTCACCAAGGTGGCATGCGTTGGGCCTGTAGTGAGATTTGAAGGTTGGGCCAAGATGACAACCATGACCTTGGGCTCCCACAATCTGCAACAAGAATCAAATAGAGACGTGGGTTGTTAACGCAAAGAAACGCGATTAGTTCCGGGGTGCAAGTCAATTGTTGGAATCTCTCGAGTTGAGGCCTGAGACGCACTCTCGAGCGAACCCGGAGGACCCTGATCTAATGGGTCTCTCTGCCTGAGTAGTTCGGCTTCGCACCAAACTTTTCTGCCAGTGGGCTTCGTGGCCTGTCGCGACCCAGAGAAGCTTATTGCACAGCAGAAACCCCAGTAGTGTTTCTGTTCGATGTGTGGGTGGTGTAATCTGAACGGGATTTTTCCTGCTACCATCAGAGCTGGCTATTTGGAAGGCTCAGTAATGCCAAACAAATCAAACTTGGATGCGGAGGGCATGCAATCTGGGCAAGCAAGATGGCCTCACAAAGCATGCGGCCCAGTCTTCATGACGGTTCCTTGTTGGTCCCAGAATATCAGGCGCCGCAAGTTGACGATAGGTAAAAAAAAACATATCAGGCGCGAAACCGTGGTGCCAGGCGCGCCTTCTTCTGATTTTGCCATGTTTAAAGTGTCAGGGCCTAAGGCCATTGACCAGAAGATCTCTGTCGATCGCGCTACGCCCTGAGGGACCAGGTTCTTGGTCCCTTTGTTCTACATGAGTAGTTTGGCCTCGTTGATGGCAGGCGACCGTCGAGAAAAGGGCGACCCAGATTGGCGGTGCAGCGGATTCCCCCAAATATTGCCAGGAAACTAGGGCGCCTCCGTGTTGATCATGTTTTTTGTTTTTGCCCTCACGTGCAGTTCACAGCTCCATTTTGATACGTAAGGCTCCCTTTGCTCAACCCTGATGCCCTAACACGATCAGGTGACCGCGAGTGAAGGGCAACCTTAAGGGCGCCGTGGCTTAGTTCTCTCCTTCAAGCGGCAACCTGCATGGCGCTTCACCAGGCCTTCCTGGTTAACTCGAGATTGGCCAGTTTGAAAGGTCATTTCAATCGAGAACCCCGGAACTCTAACAACTGGTGGAAGGAAACCATGTTAGAAGGCTCCTCTTGAAAAGTGTTTCGTGACTAATGACACTTGAGCCATAGAGCGTTTTTTTCTCACCCCCTTATTTCATGCGAATCCAGGATAAATAAACAACCACTGCTTGATTAGGGGTGTCCGTAGCTGATCCTTCACTAAGAGGGAATATTCCCTAACCTACCAGCCCGGCGACATCAACATAGACCAGAGAGCGGCCACTAGATTGGCAGAAGCAACTGTTCTTTGCCGCTATGTGTTCCTTGTGGGTGTCCAGACGCAATTGCCTGCGAATCAAAACTGCGCCTTTTGATGAGAAGAGGCACCAATTCCAAAAGAACCCAGAAGATCTCGATATTATCGTGAGGGGTTACATCTTAGCTTTCAATCATCTTGCTTCAAAGGTTGTGCCGCCAAGTCTCCAAAGGCGTGCAGGGGCGTTGTTCTACTGGGTAAATGAGCACAGCAAGAAGTCGAAATTCATTCGTTGAAAGCTCAGTCCCCGACTTCCTGGACTTTTTATACTTTTTGGACAACAGTTGTTGGAGCAAACAAATTGGCCCAGGACTTTTCTGGGCCAATCTGCTCAGTGACAAACACATTTTGTCCAGCGCTAGGCAACGTGAACCAGCCACGTACGCAAGTCCGGCAAGTTGACAACGACACATACTGCCACACCCTCTTCGGCGTTTCAGGGCCTGATTGGAATATTGGAATTGGGGGGGGGTTGGGGAGAGTTCCTGGTGTTACCAGGAATGACACTTGAGCAATAGAGCCTTTTTGTAAGCCCTCGTTTGATGGGACGAGAACTATTGATGCACCCCCACCCTTGGTTGATTCATGCGTAGGTGGTGTCCCATTTAGCAGGGGTCACCCTCATCATCCCTAAACATCCGTCTGGGGTTAGCAGTTCGGTGCCTTACAAATCCTGGAAATTCGAGGACGAGGGCTATCCATACGAAACCCTGGAAATTCTTACTGCATCTTTCGGGACCTACGAGTCGTATAGGGACCGATTCAACCTGCAAGCCGTAAGCCCCCAGGCTGACGAAGCAGCTGAATGGATCAACGCTGACAAGGACGGACCAGAAAGGCGGTTGAGCAGGGAAATTCGCGTGTGACGAACGGGACTTGTGATGTGGCTGCTTGCGTTCTTGTTGTGTTTCTTCCTTGTGTGTCTTGCTTTGTTGTTTTTTAATTGGTTTGTTGCTTGTTTGTTTGTTTGTTTGTGTGTTTATTTGTTTGTTTGCATGTTTGTTTGCTTGATTGTCTTGCTCGCTTGTTTGCTTGCTTGTTTGCTTGCTTGTTTTTGTTGTTTTTTGCTTGTTTGTTTGCTTGCCTGCTTGTTTGTTTGTTTATTTTTGTTTAATTGTTTGCTTGCCTTCTTGTTTGAATGTTTGTTTGTTTGTTTGTTTGTTTGTTTGCTTTTTTGCTTTTTTGCTTTTTTGTTTGTTTGTTTGTCTGGTTGTTTGTTTATTTGTGTGTTTGTTTGTTTGTTTGTTTGTTTGTTTGTTTGTTTGTTCGTTTGTTTGTTTGTTTGTGTGTGTGTGTTTGTTTGTTTTTTGTTTCTTTGTTTGTGTGTTTGTTTGTTTGTTTTGTTTTCGTTGTTTGTTTGTTTGCTTGTTTTTTTGTTGTTCTTTGCTTGTTTCGCTTGTGTGCTTGCTTGCTTGCTTGCTTGCTTGCTTGCTTGCTTGTTTGATTGTCAGTTTCTTTGCTTGTTTGCTTGATTTCTTGTTTGAGTGGTGGTGTGTCAACAGATGCCGGAAACTTGAAGCGTCTCGCGCGTTCTGCGATTTGTGTTTGCCATTTTAAGATTTGGGGCGCGCAAATAAACCAATCCACCTGCTTGTGACCCTTGAAGCACGGGCAGAAAGGGAGGGAGGGAAGGGGAACAAAGACCCGTTGAGGGGCCCGGGAGACTTCAGAAACAGACAAATCAAACACACAGACAGAAACAAAGACAAACAGCACAAACATGCGGCGAAGAACCGAGCAAGCAACCAACCAACCAAGCAAGCAAACAAACAAACAAACAATCAACCAACCAACAAACAAACAATCAAACAAACAAACACAAAGCACGAACGAACAAACCAACAACCAAGCAAACAAACAAGTCAAGCAACGTGTCTGACCTTGTATCATGTTTAGCAAGTTTGCAATGGGGGCTTGTTGCTGGAACCCTCTGAGCAACTCACAGAGTCACAGTCTACTGTTGGTTCGGGGAGGATGTGCGGGCCCCAAGTTTTACCACTCAGCTTCACCATTGCCTTTTGGGGAGACAAGTAAATTTGTCCAAGCCTGATATGATGTGTCCGCTGTTTTGTACATGCAAGACGTTTGCCATCAGCAACAGTGGCGCCCTAAACGTTGCAAGACACATCCTGTAGGTTACTGCACATGACCAGTGCTTTGATGTTGGATGTGGTTGGTTCTGTTGCAGCCTTTAGAGAACTAACTTGTCTTCAATAGAACCCCCCTTGTCAAGACTCCACCACGCCATGCCGAAAGTTACGTTGGAAGTGTGGTTGGGGTCGCGGGGTGGGTGGTTGCGGTGTCCAGGAGCATTTCTATTTGTCTTTTTTCGATAACCTGGTGCAGTTTGTGGTGGCATACAGGGTTTGTTGGGACATCGGGAAGCGGCCTGCGAAGTCCGGTCAAGGATGGCCAGGGGTTCTATGGGTTCGATAGGTTTCGAACCTGACATGAGTTTGTCAAAATCGAGCTGGCGGTCTTTCTCAGTTCTCTTGGTATGGACCAGGGACAGGGGTCCCAGTTTTGTCACATGCCGCGGTGTTGGCCTCCCTAAACCAAGCCCCATCCCAAACCCTTCCGAAACCGAGGACGCGAAGCTCACCTTGGGCGCGAGTCCTGAGAATCCTGAGAGCTTTGCCGAGCACTCAGCGGTTTTCGTCAGTTGCATGGAGTATCTCTGGTGTTTTCACCTCGTCCATGTCCTTTTGGCTCATATAAGGTGTCGCTCTGATGTCGGCTAGGCTGTGCGAGGTCCACCCTGGCCAACAAAAGCCAGGGTTAAGACCACTCAATTCGATCCCCAAGGTTCGGTCAAACAAACATCTGGTAGCCAAGGGGTTCATTTGGGGTTGAGGACATCAAGGAACCAAGCTGAAACGGGTCTTATTTGGTCTGTTCCTCGTGAAATTTCGAGCCTGGAACTCGTCGCGTTCTTGACCCCCAAATTGAAACTATCCACCTCAGCCAGGATCAGCCAGGTGTCAAAATAGGTCCCTAAAGAATAGTGGCTTTCCCTTTGGATTTTCCTTTGAACGAAGGTAAAAAGAACACGGAGCCTTTAAAGACGCCGATGTAGTTCGGCCAGGTGAGGAGAGGACATCACTCACTGCCTTGGCCGGATGCCTCGGAAGGTCGACAACGGCATTAAATAATCTCACTCCTGGACCATCGTGGCAAACAAGTCCGTGTGTTAGTTTGTTTGTTAGCTTGCTTGTTTGTTTCTTTGTTATTTATGCCGTTGTTTGTTTGTCTGTCTGTTTGTTTGTTTGCTTGCTTGCTTGTTTGTTTCTTTGTTATTTATGCCGTTGTTTGTTTGTCTGTCTGTTTGTTTGTTTGCTTGCTTGCTTGTTTTGTTTTTGCTTGTTTGTCTGTCTGTCTGTCTGTTTGTTTGTGTGTTGTTTATTTGTTTGTTTGTTTGCTTTTTTGTCTGTCTGTCTGTCTGTCTGGTTGTCTGTCTGTCTGACTGTCTGTTTGCTTGCTTGCTTGCTTGCTTGTTTGGTTGTTTGTATGTTTGTTTGTTTGTGTGTGTATGTGTGTGTTTGTTTGTTTGATTGTTTGTTTGTCTGCCTGCCTGTGCCTGTCTGCCTGTCTGCCTGTCTGCCTGTCTGCCTGTCTGCCTGTCTGCCTGTCTGCCTTTCTGTCTGTCTGTCTGTCTGT